TCTTTAAAGATTTAAATTTTTTTGTAGAGGTTTTTGATGTCTTTGGTCAGGTTCATTCCAAGGTATTTTACTTTTTTTGCAGCTACTCTTTCTCCAATTGCTCTCCATCTTCTGGTGTCTTCCTCAATCTCTTTCTTTAAAGATTTAAATTTTTTTTGTAGAGATTTTTGATGTCTTTAGTCAGGTTCATTCCAAGATATTTTACTTTTTTTTGCAGCTACTGTGAATGGGAGGGTTTCCCTGTACTCTTTCTCCAATTGCTCTATTGGCTTATAGAAAGGCTGGTCAAAAGCCTTAAGCACGAAAGGGATCCTATGGGGATGGAAGAAAGCCCTTCCAGAAGCCATTGGGTTGTTGAAAATCAACCTAGTACCAGGAGTGGGTTGCCCCACTATGAGCTGTTGGCCAGAGGGGCCCTGGAGGTCCCCAAAACAATAAAGGTCATTGCCAATAATGCTGGTTATATACCAGAAGTGGACGGTAAAACCCTATTGCTGAAGACACTGCATGATGTGAGTATGGGAGAGGGAGAAATCAAGCTTGAACTAAGATGGAAACTCTCTGCTGCTGGCTGGCTGGCTTTCATAGCACCAGAAGGTGACATGCAGATGGCTGGGGGAGAACTAGCCCCTGTAATTTTGCTCAGTGATGGACCCTGCATGCTGCACTATCAACATGCCAAACGAGATGTTCCAGCTGGTGCAACAGTGGCACATCTAATTGTACAACAGGCAAATTTTTGGTTGAATATAATGCCCGCTCCTAGGGGTGGAACACACATCCGGTACTGTAGATCAGGCCAACCCCCTGTGGCAGGGGAGAAAATAGGGCCCAGTGGGAAGTCACTGCAAAGCTACTGTTTTGTTAGATGGATGTGATGCACCTGCTAAAGTACCAACCAAGCATTCGTGTTTACACCCACAGGTTAAGTTATTACAGCAGCCACTGTTTAGATGTTCTTGCTTCTTGCTGTTTGTGTTTTTATAGTAGATGGAATCCCACTGAAATGGGCCAACAGCCCATGGAAAACAGATGATGCAGAGACCTGAAAGCTCAGTGCCTCACCACAATGGGAGGAAGATCATCAGACACCTATCACCCCCTCCAAGGCTCAGGGACTTTTTCAGAAGAGGTTGGCAGAAAGAATGTAAGAGCCAGAGGAAAGGGTGGAGTGTTAACTGGAAGTGTCCTCTGACCACTATGCCAGCAAGCTATAGTCACACCATCTACCCATGCTTGTCAAGGAGTTGAGGGGGGAGTCAGTTACCCCTCCCACCCAATCAGTCGACCTAGCTGCATGTGGGGGAGGGGCTAAGGGTATATGAGCTGAGCATGCCATGAGGCTCCTCTCTTGCCATTTTATGTGGCTGTTAGGAAGTCACAGGATCTATATTTGAGTGTGGGCTTTCTAGTGCGCCTGTAAATGTGGGGTGCCCACTCTTCTGTAAATAACCCCCCATCCTATGCTCTGTGAGCAAGACCAATAAACTCATTAGGATTTTCCAAAAAAAAAAAAAAGTGGAAACCATCATTATTCCACCAAACCCCATGTTGGCAAGCCCTTTGGTCTTTGATTTCTTAGTCCTATTTTGCCCCCTTAAGCTTCATTGTATATATTTTTTTATGTAACCTGCTTCAAGTTATTTCTGGAAAAACGTGTTAAAAATTGCCTCTCTTTGGAAAAAAAAAAAAAAGAAAACGATCTCTGTCCACCTTATCAGTTCCACTCTCCAGGCTACATCTGGCTCATTTCTGTGTTATTTTGTTTAAAGAATTTGCCGCTTTCTGAATTATTTGATCACTCTGGTTCTGTGTGGTCAGACATCACCACTGAATGTAAACTCTGTAAATGAGGGAAACTTCCTACCGCTTTCACTTTTCTGTGAGAATGAAGAGAAATGCTTGGTGAATGAACTGCAAATATTTGTGGATCTGTGTAAAGAAATAATATAACAAAGTAATCACGTACGTAGGGCATCCACTTTGTTTATAGCCTTGCTGTTTCGTTTTGATTTCTAACAAAGTCACATCTGAAGCATAAGCTAGACTTCTTATGTATTTACCAGGAAAACAAGCAGCAGATTGTGAATCGGTGAGCTGTTGTGTGGAGAGGAGAGAGACGGAATGTGGGTGAGGGGGAAGAAGTGGCTAAATTGTAATCTCTTATCTGACTCCTTTTCCTCATAGAGAGACACTTGTATCAGAGTTACCATGTCCTCAAATGTAAGCATGTTCATGATTTTACATCCACGTACTTAGCTAATGATTTTCCTGGCTGTCTTCTCTGCAGTAAGAAGTGGTCTGGGTAATTCTGAAACTCACTGTCTCAACCTGGAAGGCACCTGCAGAAGAGACGTCTGTAAACTAATAGAAGATGAAATCGGTGGCTGCAAAAGAAGGTGGAAATGTTGCCGATTGTGGTGGATTCTTGTGCCGATTCCAACGCCAGTTATCTTTTCAGACTACCAAGAACCCATCAAGTCCAAGATAAAGTAAAACCACGAAAAGTATCTGGAGTAAAGTTTCTGCCTCTAAAGCAATAGAATATTCATACTGCTGACAGCTCTTTAATCAGACTCTGTTTACCTCGTCAATAAAAATAAATATTGTCTTCAAATACGCTCAAATATAATGGCTTTATGACATTTTCAAGCTCAAATTATTTACATATAAGAAACTTCATTTAAAATACTTTTAACGTTGGCCATGCTAATGCATGCCTTTCATCTCGGAGCTCAAGAGGCAGAGGCAGGCAGACCTCTGTGGGTTTAAGACCAGCCTGGGATGGTCTACATAGTGAATTCCAGTCATGCTGGGGCTGCAGGGAGCCCCAGTCTCAAAAAGCAAACAAAAAAGGCTTTTCACAATTGTCACAAAACTCAGTAGATTAACAAGCTCTAACAGTGAAGAAAAGGGTGTACAGCACATGACTAAATACACGCAAACAGACCAAATTCAAAGACAAAATATAAAGTAACTCCAGACCGTATGTGAATGAAAGCAAGATACAGCTAGCGAAGGAGAAAGGATGGGGTAAGGCTACGGGAACATGACTTGGGCTAATAAATGAAGACTTCAGGTGTCTGAGAGTGGATCAGAAATATTTGAAAGCACAAAAGAACAGAGGTAGAGAAAGAGAGGAGAAAGAGGAGAGAGAAAAAAGAGAAAAGATGGAGTGAATGAGAAAACAGAACATACTGAAAAGACTTCTAGTTCCTTTAGTCAACAGAAATATAAGTTAAGTGCTTCAGAAGTTGAAACCAACTGACAGTTTCACACTTCGCTCCTATGAGCAAACGGCACAGTCGTTTGGAGATGAGCTGTGCTTTATCCACCCTGACAATCTCCCCTCAGGATAATGAACCCCTTGGGTATGAATTTTGGTAAAGTCCTTTAAGTCCAGGCTGTCAGCTGTTGGTACACCTTTCTGACACTGCATCACTTTGACACAGCTCATCTTCCTTCTCCATCACAAGGTCTCAATATTCACCTTCACCGAATGTGACCTCAGTTTTACCCCAGGCCTCAGTGCAGCAGGGAATTTGCCCGTGATTACATATGTCATCTAATCCATTCTACTTGAACCAATCACACACAGTCATACACTTACCCAAAGCCTGGTTTTTGTCTGAGCCTTGCTAGTCTGAGCCTGTAGCCACCCATAGCCCTAGGTAGTGTTCTTACCCCAGGTTTATATGAACATTGCTGTAGACTTGTGCCATATATAATATACAATATATGACTGGTATGTAGAGTTGGCAACTAGGGGAAAATGAAGTCAGCAGTAGTTTTCTCTTCTCCCTAAACAACCCGTAATGAACTCATTTTCTTATCTCAATCAACTGATGGGGACACTGTTAGAATTGTTGGCATTTCTCTGTTCCTCGATTTACTCTCATTTTCCATCATCGTAGTGAAAATTGCCCTGGTGGTGCCTAAATGAAGCAAATTATTTCAGAGAATCAAGTGCAACACACTGTGTAATTATTCAATTTATCCTTAATTGACCACCATGATGAATCTTCGTAATGTTTGTGGAACATGGACCTCCATCTTACTGTGTCTTCCAATCCCTCACACCTCATTACTCACTAGGATTCCCTTTGTGTGTCCCTCAGCTTCTTGTTACAAAGACCCACCTCCATATTCCCAGGTGTACAGTGAAATTCCCTCCTGACCAGGAATTGCACACTTTTAATTGGTATGCCAGTTGGGATGGTGCTTAGTCCTAAACCAGACACTCATACCACTCCTTCTGAGGCTTAGGGAACATCACAGGACAGCAGAAAGAATGTAAAAGCTGGAGCACAGGGAGAAGGCCTGTAAAATGCTGTCTTCAGGGCATGACAGCTGTCTTAGTTTGTTCTTCATTGCTGTGACAAAACACTCTGACCAGTACCAACTTAGGGAGGAAAGGGTTTATTTGTCTTACATCTCCCAGGTCGCATGCAGTTCATCAGGGAGCCCAAGGTAGGAACTCAGGGCAGGAACCTGGAGGCAGGAGCTGGAGCACAGGCCATGGAGGAACGCTGCTTACAGGCTTGCTCCCTTGGCCCCTGCTCAGCCTGCTTTCTTATGCAACACAGGCCCACCTGCCCAGGGGTGGCACCACCCACAGTGGGCTGGGCCCTCCCACATCACTCATCAAGAAGATGCCCTTCAGACTTGGCCACAGGCCAGTCCAATAGAGGCAATTCCCCGATTGAGGCTCCCTCAACCCGGGTGTGTCAAGTTGACACTAAAGCTATCCAGCACAACAGCTATTGCAGACTTGATGGCACAGCCGCTGTGGTTGTCTACACTGGACCTGCTCAAGATTAGACCTATCAATATCTAATCATGGATCAGGGAAAGACTCATAGGGCCTCATACCTTCTTGCTAAGCAATTGGTAATGGATCAGTTCTGGAGGAGGGACAGTCATTGTGTACCAATTGATAAGGTACCAGGCTTCTATGGACAGCTCCAAACCTGTGGTGACCCAAACAGTCTGGGTTAAAATCAGTGGGCCACGAAACAAAACAAAAAGACAAGAATGTGGGAAAGGGGCCTGAAGGGAAAAGGGGTGATGACAGGAGAGTGAGGGGAGAGACGGGGATGAGCACCGGGAAGGCCCTGCATACACCTATCTGTTGAGATTTCCCTTGAGCTTTTTCTTCACTTTCTTCCCTCCCGGCAGCCTTGTAACAGCCCCATCCAATTTTCCCATTAAAAATAAAATTGTGTCTTCTTTATTTTGCATACTTTAAATTCAAAACAAAATAAACAAGACAAAACACTCACGATATGCAGCACTTAGTCTTGTCTTCAGGCTGAGGGAGAGGCTTCCTTTCCTGTCTTCAGATACAAGCTGGAAGAAAAAGAAGTCCTCTAGATATCAGTAGGTGGCACAGGGCTAGTCAAGCCTGTTATGGAAGCAGGAGATGGGGGTGGAGTAGGGAGCAGGATGGCACAGAGGGCACAGGCTTCCAGTAGGAACTGTAATCTCCTTTCATGAAAGATGCGTCCTCATCACCCTCCAGTGAAGATCTCATCAGGAACAGCAACGCTGGGCTCTCCTGCTCTCTTGTCATCTGCACAGTGCCCAGGCCTAGCTTCATCATGCCGTAGATGTGGTCGGAGTCAGTCTGGAGAGCCTCAAGGCAGAAGCTTAGGCGAGTAGGTCCTTGACAGCCCTGTCGGTCTCATCTGTCTCAGTTTTTTGCTGCAGGGTCTACACAGTGGTGTGGTTGGGGCTGATCTCCAGGTGCTTTTTGGCCATCATACGACTCACTGTGGAGTCCTCTCAACCCACCTGGGCCTTCATGAGTCTTGTCTTGTTGGCTGTCCAGCTTGTCATAATGTATCAGAATGACAACACAAGCCTAGTAGAGATTGTCACCTTCTCAAGCTTCTCATTCAAAATGTCCTTCATGAGCTTGCAAAGCTTTTCAAACTTGGCCTTGCTCTTCTGCATTTTCTTCTTTCCCACCTTCTAGCAGCTCCAGGTCTTCCTTAGTAACAAAGACTGGGCTTTTCCCATCAAACTCCCTGAAGAGCTGCACACAGTACTTGTCAATAGGCTCAGTCGTAGAAACCACCTCAAAGCCTCTCTTCCAAACACTCCACGAAGGCAGAGATGGCTGCCGTCTCTTTGCTCTTGCCTATGTGATTGGTTATTAAATGTGACTCAGGGACCAAAAGGCTACACACTGCCATTCCTAGTTAGCCCTAATTTCTCTGTCCCTCCCTCCACTTCCGCACCCACAAGGCAGCTTTTATCAGACTCAGGTGCCAGTGCACCAGCTATAGGGAAGGTGGGCTTCAGTGGCACATTCTGACAGGGAAGTTTTCATCTCCTCTCCAGATTGAGGTGTGATGGTGCAGCAGCTCAGACAGACATCCCTGGTTGATGGAATCCTCCCAGATTTCAAGCTGTAGCTTCTTAGAAAATGCCTCGTAGAATTCCTTGTAGTTCTGTTTGTCTTCTGTCAGCTCAGCTCAGAGGTCCAGGGACTTCTTCCTGTATGTACAGGTGACTTTTGAGATTTTGCTCTCCTGGATAATTTCTCAGGAGATGTTTGGGGGTAGATCCTCAGAGTCAATTATACCACGAATAAAGTTGAAACGCTGGCAAAGATAAGAAAAAGAAAAGCAAGAGGATTAAGGAGCAATACATTGGTCAGGAAGAACTGAATAGGGGTGGCCCTTCTCATCTGATCCCATAGCTCCAGTCTTAGGCCTCTCCCCATCATCCTTATCTTCCTCTTCTCCACCATCACGGGTCTCTTTCTCTCATTCCCTCACCAAACAGAGGGTGACAGGACCGCTTATGAGCTATGAGTGCTTCTTCACCAGTTCCTTGAACTCTCCTCTCTTCCTTGAGATTGGGGATCATTTTAGTTCTGTCTTAGTTTACTGTCTGCTTGTGTGATGAACAACATGACCAAAAGCACCTTGAGGAGGAGCGGGTTTGCTTCAGCTTACAGGCTACAGCCCATTACCAGGGAACCAAAGCACACCCTCAAGGCAGGAGCCTGAGGTAGAAACCATGGAGAAATGCTGCTTACTGGCTTGCTTGCTCCCCATGGCTTGCTCAGCTGCCTTTCTTACTCAGTTCAGGCCCACCTGCCTAAGGATGGCACTGCCCACAGTGGACTGGGCTCTCCTACATCAATTAGCATTAATAACATTAATTTCTTAATGAAAATATCTCACAGATATAGCCACATTTGAGTCTGATCCAGGTAATCCTTCAGTTGAGGCTCCCTTTTCCCAGATAACTCTAGGTTTATGTCCAGTTAACAGCTGCCATTAACTATGCCAGATACCTTGGCCAATGGGCTCACTTGGTCTGCACATAGTGTGAAGAATCTCCCAGCAGAAGACTTCCAGGCATACTTAGCATTATGCTTGGTGATCATGCCACTTTCTATGCACCAAGATAGGCAGAAGAGAATCCAAAACCAAACTGCCTAATCATAGTGATGTCTACAGCAGCCTGGAGATCCTCCATGA